GAAACCATATGAATGCTGTAAACAGCTGAATAGGAAAAACCATACGAATAGGTTTACACTCCTAGCAGTCAAACTGGAACAGCATACCACAAATCCCCCCAAGAACGAGACAAAGCTCCGTGTTGAGGGTCAAGCAGTGAACAGACAGAGCTGTGGGTTTATTGTGCTTATGTACACATTCTTACACATTAGTACCACCCACAGGGTTTTGGAACACAACCAATAAACACATACAATACACTCAAACACTCCCACACAAATTCCTCCCCTCTGCATGTGATTCAATTACCTTACACAATGGGTAATGTAATTTAGCACAAGCTGAGAAATACAATTTTTCCACATTATTCATAACTTGAAATGTATGCATCACATTCACATAAAAGCAAAAAGACAGCAAAATACATTAAAATACACAAGGTTACATTTATGACATAAAATACAGACATGCAACATATGCCCAGATAGCTTAGGTCTAAGCGCACATTATTACTGAATGGCGCTCAGAGCACACACATACAGTTCAATTGCCATGGAGCCAAAGTCTTTTCCATAGTCTTTCATTATACGAATGGGCTCCATGGCATAGCTATCTGGGGTATCACTACTCAAACAGGGCAAGCACCAAATGACCCGGCTTTCTTGTCTTTGCAGGGGAAAATCAAGCCTTTTAACATGGGGCCATAATCCCAAGGCAACAGGCGAGCAACCCGGCTTCTCCAATGCAATGTGGCGAGATTGGTCTCGTCACACACACACATATATATATATATATATATATATATATATATATAGAGAGAGAGAGAGAGAGAGAGAGATAAAGAACAGTCCAAAAAGAGTCCAGTAAGGCCTTTGGATGAGATAATCACAGTTCTATCTGAGGTAGAGACGTCTATGGAGTAGTGAGATAGAGGGGTTTGTGGGATCTGTATGAAACAGAAAATCTAGTAGTGAAATAAAACCCAAATAGGTAGCAGCCGATAAAAGATAATATATGGTCCTACTCATGTTTTTGAGAGCTAAAAACTAGCTCTATTATAAACAGCATATAATAAGTATAATCCCCATTTATGGAATACGTGAGAGAGTGTTGTAAGTAGATATCTCATCAGATGGGGACCATATGTAATAAAAAAACAACAATAGTTCTCACTGTGATTAAACCAGGAGAGTGTATAAAATACCACATGGTTACTCACATTAAATGGGAAAGCGCACTGCTAAGTGAGAGGGTGTAAGTGGTATAATCCCCACCAAGGATGCTTTGAAGTAGTATCTCTCTGGAACAAGTAAACTTGTTAACTCAGATGCCAGGTAGTAAAATAATAAAAAATAGCTAACTCACAACAAAGAAAGTAGCCAAAATACCTTTGCTAAAATACAGTTAGATGAGATTTCCACAACATGTTTCTCCCCTTAGGGCTTTCTCAAATGGATAAAAAAAAAAAATATATATGTATATATATATATATATATATATATATATATATATATATATATATGATAAAGTGAAGGCAGATAGGCCTTTTAACCCCAGGGGGAGTATGTGTAAGATGTGTTGTAGGCAACACAAAACACTGTTTACTTATGGGCCCCTGGGGTGGAGCATTTGGAGAGAAGGGTGGGCCAATGCTCCACTCCACAGTTTAGTGGTTTTCTGGGGAGACATAGATCCAGGCCAGGGTTTTTTGGATCGTCTCCAACCCACTGCTCAGCTGCAGTTAATGAGCTATTGCAGTGGGAATAAACCCCTCCCTGCTAGGCAGGTAAAGGAGAGGGATTGCTGGCTTCCTCCCAGGAAGCAGGTAGGAGAGAGAGGCTGTTCTCTCCAGATAGTCAAGGAGACTAAGCACTGGGAGTGCAGAAAGGAAAGCAGTCAGGGCAAGGCTGGCTTGGAGCACTGGGAGTGAAGAGGAAAGCAGTCAGGGCAAGGTTGGCTTGGAGCACTGGGAGTGCAGAAAGCAAAGCAGTCAGGGCAAGGCTGGCTTGGAGCACTGGGAGTGCAGAAAGGAAAGCAACAGGCTAGCTAGCAGAGTGTTGCTCTTTAATAAGGTTGGTGCCATATGTTTTGTTAGTTTAACCCTGAGAGATAGGGAACCTGAAGTGAGTTAGTGCTCAGACGAGCTAGGTTTTTGTTTATAAGGTTTTGTGTTACATTTATGTTTTTCATTTACTGCTGTATCCTGTGTGGATTTAAAAATAAAGTGCCTGAGTATATGCAATTACAAGGACTGTGCATGTTTTTACCCTAGAGGGCCGTGCTACCTGCAAACAAGGATCACAATAAATATATATATATATATATATATATATATATATATATACATACACACACACACACACACACACACACACACACACACACACACACGAATGAATAAAACATATCTGTGACAAACAGCAAGTGCAAATATGGTTACTCAAACCATGGTTTTGTAGCATACATTTGAAAATTAAAAAAACATGAGTATAAGATTATACAAATTTTTATTACAAAAATACAAAGTATCACAGTAAATTGCAAATATCACAGAAAAATTGCAGAAAAGTGTGATTACAAATAATAGAAATAATGGAATGTAATAATAAAATAAAAGGTAAAAACTGTAAAAAAACAAAAATAAATGAAGAAACACAGAATATTACAGAAAATAAAAAAGATCAAAATCAGCATTTAGAATTTCAGGGGCAAGGGTTTTTAAAAGGAATACCCTTTTTTCATTTAATTTTCCAAGACATTTTCTAAAATCATGTCCCTTCTGAAACTTAGTGATTAGTATAGCCTTTAATGATATTCCGACAATGTCCTGCCAGTCATGTTTTGAGGCATCTTGAAGTCATCCTTACATTTTGAAGGCCACAAGGGCACTCAAATAGGTAGATAGGGCAGCCAATCAACAAGCGTTTGACTCATTTGCCCTTAGAAGCCATCACAGCCATGCCTACTAATGGCATGGCTATGACTGGCCAGTGCAGCATGTGACCCAGCCTCTCTATATAAGCTGGAGTAACGTAGCGCCACACTACACATGAGCTCTTATTATTGTAGGGACAGGATGCTGCAGCTGTGAGGGACAGTTTAGGAAAGAATTCTGGTGTTGAATCTGCAAACTACAGTGATTATTCAAACTACAGCGATTATTTAAACTACAGCGATTATTTTAGTGGGTGCTATACTACATTTTTGTACCCTGCCCTGAGCCCAGTGCCACAGAGAGTGCAGTGCACTTGCAACTGCATGTGTGCTAGGCACATGACTTTAATCCTGTTCTGGTTGCTCAGTGGGCAACATCCAGACATTTTTAAATACTGCAGTGTTTTGGTTGCTAAATAGTACATTTACGTCCTGTGGTGCACTTCAAATCTGATAGTCAAATAGAACTGTTAGATACTGTGGATGCAGCGCAGTTTGAACAATTCAATTTTTTGGGGTGCTAAATAGTACATTTGTGGCCTGCACTTCATATCTGACAGTAAAATAGACCAATATAACAATATTGTAATTCAGGGGCAATACCCTCACAAGTCAAACTGAGAGGTCAGTTTATAGGGAAAACTAATACAAAGAAACTAGTCCTGCGCTCAAACTCCCATTACTCCTGGGCGGCAGCAATGACTATAGTACACATCAGCCAAAATACATATAGTAAAAACCAAAGAAAAAAAGTTACCTGCGCTCTTTTCACATCCCTATGTATTTTTAAACAAATGGAGGTTTTAGTTACCTCCAATGACCATGAGAGGGTATGCCCACCTGCCATGTGAAGGCAGACCTCTTAGGTGGGTCCTAACTTTAACCATTCGCCTTGCTTCCTTGAGCGTCTGGCAAAAATATCTCTAATGAGACAAAAAAGGGGTATTATTTATATACATCCCTACATGCTTATTAACCCTTAACAGGGAACATATGGGATGAGTAACAGCATTGCAACCTAGCTGTGTGATACAAAAGTAAATACAAATACAAAGAAACTAGTCCTGCGCTCAAACCCCCATTACTCCTGGGCAGCAGCAATGACTATAGTACACATCAGCCAAAATACATATAGTAAAAAGCAAAGAAAAAAGTTACCTACACTCTTTCTACATCCCTATGTATTTTTAATCAATGGTTAGAGTTAGGACCCACCTAAGAGGTCTGCCTTGATGTGGCAGGTGGGCATACCCTCTCATGGCCATTGGAGGTAACTAAAAACCTCAATTTGTTTAAAAATACATAGGGATGTGGAAAGAGTGCAGGTAACTTTTTTTCTTATAGGGAAACTGTTGCCTGGATACAATTCTAAAACAATTCCCATATGTCCTTTGCAGAGTTTACATGCTGGAAAAACACAGTTGCCAACTGCTGTGGCTTTCAGCAGTGTTCAGACTGGCAAGGAGGGCAGGGTTGAGGAGCGGGTGGAAGATGATGTGGAGGATGATGAGGTCCTAGACCCCACATGAAATCAAGGTCATGCGAGTGACATGTGCAGTTTGGAAGAAGAGGCGCTGGTCGCACAGAGGCACCAGCACATCATAAGAGGGAGCAGGGTGCAAAAGCGGAGCAGCCGTCCCCTAGCGCTCGTTGGCATGTGTTAGCTCGAGAATTACCAAAGTTATCCAAGTAACAGATGGAATGATCAAAGGATCCATAATAGAGTTGAGCGAACGGGTTCGTACCAGATTTAACGAGCCATTCGAAGTTTCACATTGAGGGCAGCAGTCCAGTGACTGGGACCCAGACACTGTCTGGGTGGCAGTCGGATGACCGGAACCCAGTATGCTAATGTTGAAGTTAGGAGTCACAGTGTGGAATGGATTAGCAGGGTCTGGTGCAAGGTAGCCGCACGCCCCCTGGTGTTGAGCACCAGCGTTTGTGCGGCCACATACCAGGATCCTGATGCAGCCTCAGTAAAGAGTACTGGATACCAGTAGCCATCATCTGACTGATCCATAACTTGGAACAGGATGTGACATTTACTGTAGCGTCTGTGCAGGCTAAAGAGTCCTGTATTGTTATTTGTCATCACTACCTCCCCGTATCGGGAGTGGGTAATTTGCATGCTAGCTGCCTTCCTTGGATGTGGTAGCCATTTCTCAGGCTCCCTCTCCGGAATTGAACCATGTTTACCCGTTACCCATGGTCACCATGGTAGACGTAGAAAGTGGCATCGAAAGTGACATCCGAATGCAAAGTCGCTGTCACCGGGACGTGCGATTGGCCCGAGGTTCTCTAGAGTAACCAAAGCGCAACTATAATGTTGACAGCTACTCTGCCGAACGGATCTTTACTAATAGGTAGGGGATGAAGGGGGGCCCTGTGCTGGTCACTTCGCTTCCCCACTCTCTGGCAGACATCTGGCAGTACTGCCTCAGATCCTGAGAGATGCCTGGCCAGAAGAAGCTATGGGTGGTCCTATATGCTGTCCGGCTCCTGCCTAAATGCCCTGCCATGGGGATATCTTGAGTTAGCTTCAGCAGCTCATACCAATACTTCTTGGGTCTGGGGCTGGCGGTCTCTCACCAGCCGTGTCATTGGGGATCCCATTGAAAAAGTGCTCTAGCATGACGAGCTGGGTGATCTCCTCTGGGAACTTGGCTTGATGGGAGTTGAACCAGTTCTGGGTGGCCCTTGTGATACGGCATGCCCACTCCGCATGGGAGTCCTTCTCCCCTTTCCGTGTCTCCCTAAACTTTTGGTGCTATTCCTTGGGGGTGACCGCATACCGGGCCAGGAGGATTTGTGGGATAGTCTCTGATCTGCTCTTCTGGTACAGCCCGGTAAATATCCGCTGCCTTCCCCACTAGTTTCTGTTATTTTAAGTGATTTCCCTATCCACATTTGTTTGCAGGGCACTTGTCCTACTCGTACCCCCATTTTACTTCCTTTTGCATCCCTCTAGCCCTTTCCAGGAGTTTTTAAGAGCCATTTTTGTGCCCATTTTTGTGGGATAGAGGGGTTTGTGGGATCCGTATGAAAGAGAACAGAAAATGTAATAGTGCAATAAAACCCAAATAGGTAGCAGCCGATAAAAGAGGTCTATGATGCTGCAGCATATTTTATTAGTGAGACACCACAGAGGATAGTACACCTCTACCAAAGGCCGTAGAACGCGAAGTCAGATCCAATTTATATTGCTTTATGAACATCACAGGGGAAGACCATGTAGCTGTCCTCAGATGAAACCTCTGCCCAGTTAGCCCAGGATGTTGCCAAAGCCCTTGTGGAGTGAGTCTTAATTCTACTCAGAGGAGTAAGGTTTTTTAATTGATAAGCCTTGATTATTATGTTTGTAATCCAATGCCTCATAGTGGAAGCAGAAGCTGTTTCTCCTCTTCTGGCCCCTATCAGAAGAACAAACAGGTGTTGGGATTTCTGAAATTGTTGAGACACTACTAGGTACTTGATTAGGCATTGTTTGACATCCAATTGATAAAGTTTCACTTCTGACGGAGAAGAACAAGATGGATGAAAAGAAGGAAGAACAATTTCCTGGAGAATATGGAAATTAGAGACCACCTTGGGTAGAAATTCTTGTCTAGTTCTCAAGACCACCCTGTAGTGGAAAGCTTGAATATGGTTCTAATCACAGGAGAATGCATGAATTTCAGACATGTTTTTCTATGGTTATAGCCACTAGAAACAGAGTCTTATAAGTTAGCAAGACAATATCCAGCTCATCTAATGGAGCAAAAGGGGCTTCTGACAAAACATCCAGCACCATAGGCAAATCCCAAGAAGGGGAATAATACCATATAGTGCAGATGGTATTAAAATGTAACACATTTATTGCACAATATTGTACTTACAAGATTTCAGATAAAATGAGGCATATCTCCACAACCAGCGTGGTGTCTGGCTTTCAAAGGATAGCAGAGATTGAGTATCCACATGCAGGGTGGCAAATATTCAGTAAAATATACAAATAAATTCATCCAGATTCTCAATCCAGACTTCTAGAGCTCTGGATAAAGATGTTAGGGCTATCGCTGAATACAAGGCCGAACCCAGAGCCAGATAGGCTTTTATAAGATTGGTGGTCAAACATTTTTCCATTGGCTCTCTCATATATGCCATGGAGTCTATTGGAAGAAATGTTCTTCCTCCAGATTCTCAATCCAAACTTTTAAAGCTCTGGATAAAGATGTTAGGGCTATCGCTAAATGCAAGGCAGAACCCATGGAGTCTATGGGAAGAGTTGTTCTTTTTGCCATGTGAATGACTGCTGTGTCAATTTTCGGAACTGAAATCAATGACTTGCAGTCTGTCAGGGTCTTACCTGGGTTGGGAGTCTGTAGCGCAGATATGTTGCAGATAGCCACAGGCCAAGGTGGTCAGGTAAGAATTCACCCGGCCTCTGGGTCTGTGCACGGGGGCTGTGCAGGAAGAAGTACCAAGTTGCAGGACAGGCAAGGACTCAAACAGCAGGATCATCAAGGGATAGCCGAGGTCAAAGGATGCCAGAGGACAGGAACAACGAGGAGTAGGCGAAGTCAAGGGATGCCAGAGGTCAGAGTAAATGTAGACAGAAGCCGGGGTCAATAATAAGTAGTAGATAAAACAACAGGAACACTGGTATGAAACACACAACAGGATCAAAGATTTGATCCTGATCACAGGGCGAGGCTGAGTTTAAATACCCTGCTAATGTCTGATCAGGGTCAGGTGAAGCACAGCCAAAGTCAAGGTACAGCCCCCAGAGTAATAGACATGCCAGGATGAACAGGACCGGACTGACTTGTAGAATACAAAAGCTATTGTGGCTTAGAAGTAGGAAGCAGGACCAGGACTGTGAAGTTCCCTGGTTCAAATCCCTTGTTGGGAATTCCTTGGGCGACCATGTCTGTCTGTTGCGGTGAGAACCGTGACACAGTCCTCATGAACATAAGAGTATAATTTAGACGTCTTGCTCTTTAGAGTCGATTTTCTCTCAGGTCTATTCCATTCTTAATGAGTCCTCCGCCGACAAAGCTATGGGAATAGCGCTGGATTCTTCTAGTTCATATATCAACGCTTCCATTGATTCCTTGGGGTGTGTGATGGTGAGCAGAACATTGTCTGCATAACTCAACACCGTGAATCTCTGTCGACCCACCGCGATACACTGTTTCAGTTGGTTTATGCATATGGTGTGCAATAGTGGTTGAGGGAGAGGACGGATAGTAGTGGGGAAAGAGGGCATCCCTGTCGTGTTCCATTGCTTAGTGAGAAAGGCGTGGTAGGGGCTCCTGTGATCCTGATTTGGGCTGTGACATTAGTATACATGTATGTCTCCGGGAATTTTAGATGTGTCAGTAATTCTAACATATACGGCCATTTTAACCTATCGAAGGCCTTTTCGATGTCCAGGGACAGGATGAGAGTCGGTGTCTGGGTGGAGGCCTGTTTCCATATGAGGTCTATATTTTGTCTGGTGTTTTCAAAGAGTTAGCACCCCTGTACAAAGCCCACCTGGTCTCTGTGTATCAGTCCCGTCAGGAGGGGGGATAGTCATTCAGCTAGCACTGGATTCTGGTATTGTGGTTTATTAACCATATGGGCCTGACATTTTCTGGTCGGGACGCGTCTCTTCCCGGCTTCAGGAGTAGCACTATGTTAGCCAATGACATATCAGGATCTGGAAGGAATACCACCCCCCCATCAGGTAATTAAACCAACTTGTCATGTGTGGTATTAAGTCATCACAGAATGTCTTATAATATTCACCCTCGAATCCGTCAGGCCCTGGGGCTTAATGTCCCTTTAAAGTTTTATAGCTCTGTCTATTTCGTCTATGGTAATTTCGCCACACAAGGTCGCCCCAGCGGTGTGTCTAGTTTCAGTAATGTTAGTTTGTGTAGGTATGTTTGTATGGCTTCTGTAATGTCAGTTGGGTTGTCATCCTCCTGGGCAGTGTGGTTGTACAGGGCCTTATAGAAATCCATGAATACCTATGCTATATTGTCCTGCGTTGTCATAGGTTTACCTCTGTGGTCTTTGATAGTGGTGATGTAAGTCTGACGATGGCATTGGCGCAGTGTTCTGGCCAGCATAGTGTCCATTTTGTTTGCGTATTTGTAAAAATTTAGACCAAACCATGGCTCTGGCGGTGTCGTCAAGGAGTGTTTCCCTTAAAAGACGTTGCAATGTCTTTAAGTCATGGAGCTTGTCAGGGGATTGGTGCCACAGGTGTTTGATTAAAGTTCATTAAAAAAATAAAAATAAAAAAAATAAGTAGATGGTTTAAAGGTACAGAGATACAGAGATATATGTAAATGAAGTATGCATGAAAAGGGGGTAATATAATCCCAAACATAATGATTTAAATAGGGGTTATATTATACCCCAGAGTAATAATATATTACAGATGTTAAATGAAAATAATAGATAAAATAAAAATAAAATTAAATAAAATTATATAAAAGATAACACAGAATACAAGATACATAAATGGAAAGGCATAGATGAAAAATTAAAAATTAAAAGATTATTATTATGAGGGTTGGTTAGGTCCAGACATAAAGAATAAAAGCATGTAGATAAGGGTTGTATATAGGAATTTAAATAAAATTAAACAGGTCAAAATCAACATTTAAACCAGATGGGGTAAGAGTTTTGAGATTAAAAACCCATTCCATCTCAGCTTTACCTAATATGTTCTTAATGTTACCACCTCTCCATGGTATTATACAATTTTTTTATGCCGATGCATTTAAGGTGTCTTGTGTTGTTATTATGTGTACAAAAGTGTTTGGAGACTGAGTGATTCAGGTAGCCTTTTTTGATATTTCTACAGTGTTCACTCAGTCTCACTTTAAGACTTCTTGTGGTCATCCCTACATACTGGAGACCACAAGGGCACTCCAACAAGTAGATGACATTTTTGGTATCGCAACTGATAAAATCTTTAATTTTATAGGTTTTGTTGGTGATATTAGATTTAAAACTGGTGGTTTTGGAAGGGACGGAGGGGTCTGTGTTTTTGCATACAATGCATCTTTTACATTTGTAAAAGCCACTGGCATTGGGCATAAAAGAATTAAAAGTAGGTTTGGTTTATTTTGTAAAATTGGTGGTTAAAATGGATTTGAAGTTTGGGGCACCTCTAAAGACAACATTAGGCTTGTCAGGTATAATATTTTTAAGTATTTCATCTTCTTTTAAGAGGTGCCAATGTTTTTTAATAATTTTTTTGACATGGCCACTTTTGTTATTAAAATTGAAAATAACAGGAAGGGGCATGGTGTTGGTGGTGGGTTGGGTAATGTAAGTTAGGAGGTCTGCTCT